GGAAGAGGATCCCAAAACCATGAAGACGTGGGTATTTTCCCTCCTTTCTCATGAGTATCAGCAAGATGCTGTGTATGTGGTGTCACTTGCTTCACACCTTGTAAGAGTTTAACCTGCTTTTGGCTGGTGCTTAAAAAGTGGAGTATCCAGACATAGGACTCCAAAATGCCCTTTTCCCAATATCCAGCTCTTCTCCACACACATCCCCAAGTGAAGGCTGGACCCAGAACCTACCTGGTCCTTCTCAGGCTTGTCTGAGATGTCGTTCAGGCTGCTGGATGTCAGGTTTCGGTGAGCCATGGCTGGGCTGCCTGTAAGAACAATGTTGACATCAGTTAAAGCATCTGTTTGGATCCAGTCAGGACACAGAGGCTCAGGCTACAGCCACTCTTCCTTGCATGAGGGAGGCTGATATGGGGAATTCCAGCTCCTGACAGGCTGCTTTCTGTCACTTGATGTGGCATGTGGCAGATTAATTAAGGTGCTAATGCTTCATCATCTCTGACCCACAGCCTTCCCATGACTCCCTGGACAGCAAAAGAGTCCAAGGATTTGCCATCACTCCTGCCTGTGGGAGAAAAAGCAAAACAGTACCAGGCTGCTGACAGTGATGTGCTGGGTCACCCAGGACCCACCACAAACTCAGCCCTCCACAGGGCTGGGACTTCCAAGGTGCAAATCTCTGGCCTCAGCTCTCCCACATGGATGACATCTGCCCTTCTCAGCATCCCAGACATTGTGCACAGCTCAGCAGTGAGGGAAGGTGGCAGCTCCTGGTCCTTCAAAACATCTCCTTCACTCCAAGTAAGCTCATTAACTAAGCTCATGGACATTAAGCATTGCACTGATTAAAACAACATGTGCACCACACTGACAGCCCAAAAGTCACCAATTCCTGACACCAGATTTGCCAGAGAGGTGAAGAAAATCCCCAGAGACACAGAAGAATGATTTCGTAAACAAAGAAACCCAAAGCACAAACAAATAAGAAACAACTTCTGGGACAGATACGAGATTGGAAACCACAGTGGTCAGGATGAACTCTTATGATGATCCTGAAATGTTATCCCTTCTCACCATGCTGGCAGGAACCTGAAGCACAGCATCAGGAGCTTTTATCCCAGAATTTCTGACCATGAACACCACTGGAAAGGCAGGAAATAGTCCAAAAGAAATGGCAGTGAGGCATTTCCCAGATGAGGTTGTGTTTTGAGGTGATATTGATTTGATATCCACACCAAAAGGAATGTCCAAATTCTCGGTGTTCAGCAGCTCCCAGCGCAAACAAGCTCAATAATAAATCAGCATCAGGAGCAAAACAACCAAAGGAGTGGAAAGAAAAAGCTCTGGACTGCTCACAGCTGGGTTTTCTTTGCAACAAATATTCCTTCTTGTGAGCCACTTGGAACCACAATGTACCTGGTGTGTGTTACTGCCACAGCCATGAACATCAGCACAGTCAAAGTCAAGCACAGTTAGGTAAATCGGATATTGCAAAAGGGGCATCCCCATCTTCTCCTTTTCCTGATGTCATTTAAGACCCCACTACAATGTCATTACAGCTGTGTTTACTCACAGGGTGAGAAACACCACTTGGAAGGCTTGGTTTAAACTCCACCTCTTAGTAACCCTCCTCCTGATTATTAGCAAGTCAGGCTTAGAAATGTCTACAAATTGTGATTGAATGATTGATATTGATGATCAGTGATTGAATCTGCAAACAGGAAATACATAAACACATAAACAGAACAGGATACAAGTGATGCAGCTTGTTCACATCATGCCTGTTGGATGGCGTAGAGAGAACTTTGGTCATGACACCTTCAGAGTTATAAATAGTTGGTTAATATCAATTACTATCAGTTTCTATCACCTGTGGGCTACTGAGGGCAAAGAATCGACCCAAAAAGTCTTTGGCAGAGGTAAACAGACCTGGGAGGCTCAAAAGAAATACTAATAGTGTTATTTTATACAGTGTTTAGGGCTGCTCCAAAGTGTTTTATTCAGAACAGAAAAGAACCAGGCAAGAAAAGCACCTGCCAAAGGTATCCTTCATTCTCTGCAGATGCTTCCATGGTTTTCCAAAAGTCCAGGTCCAGGTTTGGAGTAAACAGACACAAGTAAAGGCCCACAGCTTTCATAGCTGATATTTTTTCAGATTACACCACTTGTTTGCTTTGTGTATTAGATGTCCAGGCTGACTGTTCCCTGGGAGATCACGACCCTTCTCCCAAGAGGAGGCAGCTCGAGCCTTTCTCACCTTTTGCTAGCAGCCTCCTTCTCCCAAGGGAATCCACATAGCCACACAAACTCCCAGCAGCTCCGAAAAAACATGGGGAGTAAAAGGTTTCTGCTGCTGAGACCCCAGACCAAGACTTTTGGCACATGATGCTCACCCTTATGACACTTGCTGACCAAAGATAATTTTCTATCCAGGCCCAATTCCCATTCCTATCTCTGGCAAAGGCAATGTGAGCCTGTCCAAGGCCATGCTCAGCCAAGGACTGATGCAGGAAGTACATCAGGCAATCCAAACCCCTCCGTGCTATTATCTCATCCTATTAATTGGCTCCATAATCATCTTTCATAGGGAATATCCTGGAATTCAGACTTGTGTCGATTGCTGTGGCCCATAAAGAACATCTCAGTGCCACCAATGCCATAAATTGTGCCTTCCCAGGGGAACAGCACACTCCCCTGGGATCCGCAAGGCTCCTGTGAGTCATATTTGCAGAGGGTAATTGGAGAGGAATGGGGCCGGAGAACAGCCCAGTTCATCCCTGAGAGCTCAAGCTGGCAGCACAGCTTTGTAGCTGATTTATATGGAAATGAAAATATTTAAGCCCTTCTAACAGGCAAAGGCAAAAAAAAAGTCACCAGACAGAATCACAGAATCAGTTAGGTTGGAAGGGACCACAGTGGGTCACCTGGTCCAACCTCCTGACTTCCCTAGTCAGCTCAACCCCCTGCCAGAACAGGAGAGTGGACTGACCCACCTGCTTCATCTCAGATGAAGGAAAAGAAGCAAACCAGAGTGAAACGGAGCAGTGGAGAGGACAGTGGGAATAATAGGAGCAGCCAGAGCAGACACCACCATTCCCCATGGAACACATCCGTGCTCTTTGCACTGTTAATGCAGCAGCAAGCATTAGGTGCATAGCTGGTGTGAGTTCCCCCTTCCTCTTCCTCTCCTGGCCCACAGCCCCCCCACCCTGAGCCCTGCCCAGGACTTACTGAGCCATCCCACGCTGGGGCTGCGCTGCACTCCCAGTTCATCATCCAAGGTGCGTGTGGCCAGGCAGGGCACGGAGCTCTCGAGCGGGCTGCGTGCTTGTGCCCAGCAAGCAGGAGCCAGGAGCAGCAGCAAAGAGCAGGAAGAGAGCAAAGGGAAGAAGTTAACAGAAAAGAAAATAAAATTATGCAAGAAAGAGCAAAGGGAAGCCAGGTAGGACAGAAGGTTTGAGCTGCACAGTGCAGTCACCAAAGCCCAACTCGTTTGGATCCTGACGCCTCCTCCGCAGCTCCACCTCGCAGCGCTGGGCTGGCAGGGCTGAAGCCAGTTTCCAGCCCTGGTGTGTAAATTGCAGGCATCCAGAAGCAGATCTCAAGGAAGTGAGTGAGCAGCTGCAGTCCAGGGCTGTGGCATGGTCAGTAACAACAGGCTTTCGAAGCAAAAATCAGGTCATGTCCACATAGGAACCAACTCTGAACATCCTGACCCCATACATACCCAGGCACAGCAATTTCGGCTTGGAGATGCTCATCTCAGTCTGCAATGCTTCCAGCAATGCCAATACATACATTGGTAGGGTTTTTTTCCAAGCTTTCACTGAAAAAGGGCTTCAACTCCTCTCCTCTATGCTGGTATTATTCAGCTCAGGCCATCATTCAGCTCTCTAAATGGACTGAGGTCACAGTTCATGTGAAAAAACACTGAACTGACTAAAGCTGAATGCAGGGAAGATGTGGCTGCTCCAGCCCTGGAAGTGTTCAAGGCCAGGTTGGACAGGGCTTGGAGCATTCACCTTGGGAGGTGTCCCTGCCCATGGCAGGGGGTTGGAACAAGATGATTTTTTAAGTTCCTCTCCAACCCAAACCATTCCAGGGTTCTAACACAGAATAAAAGCTTCCAAGGAGAGAAGTTTTCACCTGCTGCCAGGTACCCTCCCCTCTGTGCATGAGCCAACACCTTGCAGACAGCCTGTTATTTCAACTCAACTGTTTCCAAACAGGCTGTCAGCACAGCCTGAGCACACAGAGTGGAGGAGGTGTTTGGGCAGCACACGGCACCCACGCGGCGATGGGACTGTGCCATTGTTTATGGCGCTTCAACACGCACACTTAAACACATCACAGTTTACAGCCTCTGCCAGCTTGGGTTTAAGTAGGATTCGATCATTTCTCCCTTGCCAAAGGCTCCCACAGGTGTTAAATTATACAAAGTGTTGGCAGGCAGGAAGCTCTGAATGAAAAACATCAAAAATGGATAGCAAATGTCATCACAGAAGGCTGGTAAATATTGATCAGACAGTCCTCAGGCACCTGCAGAAGGGATGGTGACCACACATCTCATGTTATGTTGTGGCAAATCCCAAGGTGTGCCAGCTGGAGAGCTCCAGGACAAGGGCTGTGGCAGGAAGGGACACAAAGAACTCCTAGAAAGCCATTCAACAAAGCCAGACACACATAAAAAGCTGTCAAAACCCCCGGCAGGAGTTCCATCAGCATGGAAAACTGAAAGATCCTTGTTGAACACTTCATACAGCTCAATCTTCTACCAATAGAAGCAAGGAAAAGGGCAGTGTCTTCCCAAGAGAATGTTCAGGGATTGCTTGGTCCAGCTTGTCAGCTTCTCCTAGAAAGCCATTCAACAAAGCCAGACACACATAAAAAGCTGTCAAAACCCCCGGCAGGAGTTCCATCAGCATGGAAAACTGAAAGATCCTTGTTGAACACTTCATACAGCTCAATCTTCTACCAATAGAAGCAAGGAAAAGGGCAGTGTCTTCCCAAGAGAATGTTCAGGGATTGCTTGGTCCAGCTTGTCAGCTTGGAATTTTGCAAATTTTTCCTGC